AAAATAGTCTATGGCGAACCAAGGAGATGCAGGGTGTGAATGTGTGGAAGAATGCTGGCAACACTTGTTTGAAGACTGTAAGTACGACTTCATCAACATACCCCTCGTTTTAATTTCCTTCTAAATACTCTTAGTTTTATAATTTAAAGCTTTAGATCGATATTATGGCGAACATAATTATATAATTTAATGGAAATTAATTACAACAAGTACTGTGCTTATTCTCATCATTTTTATATCTTTAAACTTGAATATTTTCCATTTTAATGTTTTGCTTATTTACAGCTCCACGTTTAGAGGATTTGTTGCTGTTGAATATCAATGATCAACTTGATCATGGCCCTGATGACTTAACTGAAAATTTCCTTCCGAGAAATCATATAAACGAAGGGAATCAGGATGAAGCCGGAGATGAAACCGGAAAGATCCGGAGTAATTGCAAAGACCAAGGAAGTCAAAATGGTCCCCGGGAAGATGGTCTCCCAATTATATTGGAATTTCCAGAGCTGACCCCGACGCCGATACATGAAGGCAGTCAGGCTGCACCGAGAACAGAGGTGCTGGTGAATCAGACGGGCGCTGGAATCGAGCAACAATTAGGCCAACCTGCAGCAGTACCCACTGTGGATTCTCTTTCCACAAGAAATATGGGTGAGATGAGTGCAGAAGCGCAGAAACGGGCCAAACGGCTTGCCAGAAAAAGAGAGTGCGATCGAAATTATAGGCAGAGGAAAAAGGTGTATAAGTGTAAATATCTTCATTATCATTACATTTTTAGTGGTAGTACTATTTTATGGGTGTGGGTCTATTTATTTTTTCGGCCACTGTGAGTGTGGGTCTTGAATCTGACTTATTATGCAATGTTTAGGAAAAGAGACAGAAACTTCAGGAAGAAGTTCAGGAAAAAGAAAAGCAAATTAAGTCTATGGAGGCATTTGCTGTAATACGAGAATTAAGGGCTGAAAATCAACTTCGAAATAAGTCGGAGTACAATGGGCAACTAAATGTAAGTCAGCCACTTGCTGAAAATTTTGATTTTTTGCTGTCAAATTTAACATCATTTGGCGCTATTCAAACACTTTTAACCGTCTATACTCTGAATGAATTTTATTTATTTATTTTTTATTTACTCTAACTGAATTTTATTTAGTAGTACTCAATTACACATATTGTGTAATGTAGTAATATTTTTTTTAGAACTTAAAGAATTTTTGAGGATGGAGAGTAATATTTGGTATTGAATTTAAGATTTTACGTCCTAATATTTTCTATTAAAAGAGTGACCACTAAACTATCTAATATTAAACTGTAATGTAGTAATACTTTATTGCATGCTGTCCAATAGACATAACCTTCCTATTTCAACATCTGAGTTTTTGAATTTATCCCAGCAGACATAGTTCTCTATGGGTCGTTTTTGGCCTAACTTTGAGATTAAATTTTTTTTGAAGGATTTTAAGGACGTATCTCAGTGTTAATATTAAAATTTAAATGAAAAGTTTAATCTACGAAATAATATTTAATTACTAATTAATCCTACTCTTATATGGTAATATACTAATATTAGCGGACCTTTCTTTATGGTACTATCATGTTACCGTGTTGCGAAAAATGCTGCTTTTATTAATAAGTTAAACGGAGCTGCCACTGACGACCTTTCATATGCTTACCACCCCAGAGCCTATTAGTATTTAGTGTACTCAAATGGAATCAAATTTTACACTCCCTCAAACAGCTGCTGGAGTGCGAGTCGATAAAGATTGATCAACTCCTTCAGGCCCATGCGGTAATTTAGTGGAAACCGCTTGGGTCCGGAATTTACATAGAGGCCCATTGCTGGTGCCAATTGAGCCTACCGTAGCCCATTTTTTGTTTTGAAATTTTTTATTGACATAAAAAATATAAAATTAATGAATATTAATTTGTATGGTAAAAAAATTAAATAAAAAATTTTAAAATTATATTATTTTAATATCAGTAATATAACGGTGGAATAGAATTTATGTTCTATTTAATATGGTTTTTTTTTTCCTGGCAATATAAACAGCAATATGGCCTTATATTTGCTTATTGCAGACTCAACATTATAACTAATTTTTAAGCATGATTTATATGAGGCCACCAGTTTGGCTTCCGTGAAAAGTTTTTCTTATAAACCAAACACGCCCTAAAAAATTGTGAAGTAGCCAACCATTTCCAACGATGAGGTTTTTCTTTCTTTCCTCTTTTTTTTTTTTTAAAGGAAATTTTTACGCAGCTAGCTTCTCCTATTTTTCCCTTGGTCTTGGAGGGAGGGCTTAACTAGTTTACGATTCCAATCCCCTTTCTTCTGCATTTGCTAGTAATTTGTCATGAAAATGAGGGATTAAAAAAGGCAAATCCCTTATTCTTTTGTAGTTTTTTGCTTCTGTTTTCCCATGATTTTTCCCATAATTTTTGCGGGATTTATTGATGTTGGTGTTGCTGATTGCAAATTTATCTATAATTAACGTCTATTGGGTTATAATTTATTGGGGTTTGTTTGTCGTTTCTAATAATTCTTTTTTCGCTTGCAAAGATGGATGGGATGGGAAGTCTTGATGAAACCAATGATTGTACGGAGATTGATGACAGGGATAACATATGGAATGATTCAAATGAACAAATTTTCATTGAGTTAATAGTTGAAGAGGTGAAGAAAGGAAACCGAACAAGTGGTAACTTGTCCAAACTTGGATGGAGTAACATTGCGCAAGGACTCAAAGAAAAGACTGGAAGAGATTACACTAATCCTCAATTGAAAAGCAAGTACCAAAGCTTGAGAATAAGACACAGGAAGTTAACGGCCTTAATTCAAGAGACTGGGATTTGTTACAATTGTTGTATAGGCGATGTTAATGCCAGTGAAGATGTCTGGGTCACTCCAAAGAGGGTAAGAACTTAACCCGCTGTATCAAACTACGTAGCATAAATTATTAGGTGGAGGCATAGTCTACCTCCCCATCCATCCAATAATCTCTATTTTGCAGGGAACCCTTAATACTATTAATTTAACGTATAATTGATGGATTTGAAGTTCAAATTTTTTTTATAATTACTACAGGTGCATTCATTGGCAACTCGGTTTAGGAAAAAAGGTTGCAAAGAATATAAAGACTCGTGCTTGATCTTCGATGAGACAAACATAAGTGGAAATCATCAGAATGCATCAACCAAATTACCATTAGATGGTGAAGATGAGAGCCATGGAACTAATCTTCCTGGGTTAAGCTTGGGGGACAATGAAGATGATGTTACCGAACTTCCTTATAATAATGAGACGGAGCCAAGAGCAACGAAGAACGAGTCTCCTATATGCACGTCCAAGAAGAAAAAAGGACCAAGAGGCAGAAAAGGTCAGGATCATCAGTTGAAGACAATAGGAAAAGCCCTACTCACCATCTCGGAGCAATCCAAGAGAAAGAATGATTTGCTTGAGCAAAGAATGTCAGGATCATCAGTGGGAGACAATAGGGATGAGGCAAGTTCTGGTGGAAGTCGTGATGTTAATGCAATGAAAGAGTGTTTGAGGTCTTTACATGCCTTGGGTCTTGAGGGCATTGCTTATGGTAAAGCAGTGAAGGCCTTACATGACTCTGCACTATATAGGGAAATCTTTTTGGACATGCCTGACAAGAGGAAGATAGATTGGGTGCTTGTTCTTTAATTTAGACTTTTTTTTC